GGCTTTGCTGATACAGCTGTGCTGACAAGGCTTTGCAGCTTGTCCTAGTGAAACAAAGTTTTGTTCATAGCTGTTATTTGCAGGCAGAGGTTTGGTGATGCTGCTGGTTAAATAGTACCGCATTAAAAGAACTAATAGTAGGGAATACTATTTTGCTCAGAACAAGAAATGCCTGCTTACAACATGAACCAGGACAACCCTTCCATGCATCAACAAATGCTCAAATAGACAAATACATTGTCTCCCTCAGGTTATTATTTGATCAACCAGAGTACAGGTTCCATTTTCAAAGTATTGGAAGTGTGAGTAGCCACACTGCTTTGTCTGTCCACTGATCGGTCTCTTCCCTTCTCTTTACCTCGTCTGCATTTCACATGCTGTCAGAACACCGAACCTTCTGGTTTGAGTGTTTTACTGTCTTAAGCTTTGAGTGGTAATATTAAAGAGACTGCATATCCCGCTTGCAGAGTGGTCGAACTGTCATAATGAAAGCTGGAGTCTTACACTGACTAAGAACTGTGAACCTAGAGATCTGTATCATTGATTATTGATGTGATTAGAGATGTGTATCATGATAGGACGATGGGGAGTGGCTTCAAACTGGAAGAGGGGAGATTCAGATTAGATATCAGGAAGAAATTTTTCACTCTGAGGGTGGTGAGGCACTGGTACAGGTTGCCCAGAGAAGCTGTGGAGGCCCCATCCCTGGAGGTGTTCAAGGCCAGGCTGGATGGGGCTTTGAGCAACCTGGTCAAGTGGGAGGTGTCCCTGCCAGTGGCAGGGGGGGTGGAACTAGATGATCTTCAAGGTCCTTTCCAACCTAAACCAGTCTATGATTATGCCTTAACTCACCTCACCTCACCTCACTTGTGGAATTGATTGCATGAATGCTTTGTCACAGCGCAATACAACTTAATATGCAGAAGCATTAAACAAGTTTCATACAGCGTCAGTATAATACTGCGCTACCCATTCCTAACTTTTCTTTTGTTTCTAGGCTATTCAGGAACAAATGAAAATTCATGGACAAGAACCAGTTTCTTTTCAGGATGTCAAGGTTAGTTCTACTGAATACGGTACATATACATAGTGAAATATTTGAATAAGCATTCTATAGTTTGCTTATGTTATAACGTAGTTTCTAGGTTGTTGTATATTTACTTGCAGAGTAGTAGAGATGATCTAAGTTGTTCTCCTCATAGGTTTGAAAATGACTTTCTATTCAGCAGTTGCTCTGTAAGAAATCTGGTATGCAACTGTTCTAGTAGTTTCCCTACTAACAGACAAATTACCTGTTAAATACATGTTGTTGTGCCCTATGCTTGTAGATACTTGCGATGTCTATTTTACAATTCAGGATCACCCACTGGGGTGGAGGGGTGGGACTGGTGACTTAAAAAAAACTTGTTTATAAAACTCTCTTTATTACTGCCTACTTTACATTTCGCAGTTTTAGTGCTTAAAAAAAAAAAGTATGAGAACTTCTGTAAAACTTAACTCATACAAGTGAACTGAGTTTTATGTTGCCACTTTGAGGCCAAAGCCTCCCAGAAAAGTAAATTCTTATTTGAGATGTGGGAGCTGAGCACGCTGCTCCTAACCGGAGCCAGTTATTGTGCTTTATATCTTCAGCGGTTTGTGACTTGACAGCTTTTTTGTAAGTTGGTGTGGATGGCACTAGTTACCCAAAGATCGTTCTGTATATGGTATAAAGTAGCTGTTATTCTGCTCATTAATGCTTGGGGGAGGGGGGTTCCTCAATTTTTACTTTTTTTTTCATAGGATGAAATCTTTGATATGGTAAAGCCTAAGGATCCTTACAAAATCTCCCTTCAAGACTTAATCAATAGCAGTCAAGGAGACACTGTTACCAGCATTCTAATTGATCTGAATGGGTTCTGGACATACGAAAACAGAGAGGTCCTTGTGGCAAGTGATAATGACAGCACTGCTGATGTTGATGATACGTGACTCTGAACAGGAATAGACTGTATCCATAGAGATATCTCAATCTGATGCATCAACTATTGGAAGCTGGAAACATTAATTATCTGAATCACTGCCTCTTCCCTCCCCCCTATGTAATATAAAATGTGGTGCATACAGGAGTTACAGAACTAGTTTCTGAAACCAAAAAAGCAACTATTATTTAAGATGTAAAAATGATCTCTTTTTTTTTTTTAAATAAATATTTTTGGACTTTTTCCCTGTGTACCAAGCCCAATTTTTATTTGAATATCCTGTTCTAGAATGTGAATTTATCCTGAAAGTAAGGATGTGGTTCTTGTTATCTTCAGCACTGGGCTGTATCCACTCAGCTATCCCAAGCCTCCTGCTGCATTCTGTATGGCTTCCTCTAATGATAACACTTGAACCTTCTCTTGTAAAGGCAAAAGTCTTCAGTAAGAGGTAAAGAACTTAGGCCTTTTTCTTCTACACGTGTCTAAAAGAAAGTATAAGTAAATAATTATTGAACTGACTGAATAGTTACCTACTTCTTCAGAGGTTCATTAACAGAAATTAAACTGCACTAGCTTCAGGTCTAGTTAAAACTAGTCCAAACACTAGGCTTTCACCAACTTAACCCCCTGTGCAAGTATTTATGTAATTAACTTAATTATACAGCTCTGCTACAGCAGTAGTTAAAGCAGTAAAACTATCTATCTTGCTCTATACCCAACTGTAGAAGCATGCTAACTTTCAGACAAAATTAGAATAGCTCCAAGCCAGAGGTGGTTGCAATCCTGTACTATTTATGAGCTTGAGGTAGTGGTGAACACATGAGCGCGTTACCAACCACTACCTGAGCTTGTAAGGAAGGGGTGGAGGTAGTGATGATATCTTGAATTTCAGTGCTTGAATATTCCAATAGGATGTGTGTGTCAATAGTAACCAGCGAACAGGTACGCACTCCGTACCCTTTTAAAGGAAAAGCCATAGCCAACTTCCAGTTCAAAAATTATATTAAATATAAAATAACCAGTTAATGCATTTACAGAAAAATTAAAACATTATGAAAGTAACCACTTTCATACAGTTTGCAAAAAACTGAGGGAAGGATTAAGTTAAGGCACAGTGAGTAATACAGTATTTTATACAAAGAAGGCAGTGAGAGCATTTCTTACGCAACAGATAGTAGGTAGAGGGGAAAAGAATGAACACAGCTGACATTAATTTATTGGCAGAAAAGCAAAGTATCTTTCAGCTGTAAAGGTTTTACTCTTGAGCTATGTGAAGCTTTCTATCTTGGACAGTGTAAGAGCCCCCAGCAAGCTGTTTTCCTGTGTATCCCCCAGATGTATCCCCCAGCTCTCTCTTGCAGAGGTTCAGGGCTAAGGAATGATGGTACACAGCTGTCAGCACCCTCTGTCTTACAGATCATACAGCAGCAAAGAACAGAGCCTCAAAGCAGATGGAATACAGCTGATGACTGAATCTTCCTCAGAAGCTTTTTCTGTGGTGATGGAGTACTAGTGGCAGATGAGAGGCGAAGGAATCTGTGCTCTATAGGCCACTAGTTCAGTTAGAGGGTTGTCTGAAATACATAACTGAACGCTGGAAACTAACAGCCAAGTTACCTGGCCTCTGATGTTACATCAGGCTCCTTAGTTAGTTGGTAGTAGTACCAAGGCTGGGACACATGACTATACCGAACACAAAATTTCACTGAAGACTATTTTTTAAATTTTCTTTAGAAGTGTCAAGGACAGAAGTAAGGTTCCACATAGTAACTAGTGCAGGTTTTCTGCTCCTTCATCTACGATGATTCTCTAGAGAAAGGGACTGGGAACTGACAGCTGATTGTCCTGAAGTAAACCATTCACCTTTTACAAGCTACAAGTAGAACGGTAAAATTGCAGTAAAATACCCTTAATTAGTATTTGGGGCTACTTAAAAGCTGTGGAGCTACCTGCGCTTCACTTAGACAACAATAAAAACTACTGTTGTTGCAGTATCACAACAAAGTGTTTTGATTATTTAAAAAAAGGAAGAATAACAAGTTTGGTTTTACAATTTCTAGCTATTTACGTATTCTGTGCTAGAGAGGGGAATAACATCTGTAATGGCATATCCCTTACTGGTAATTAGACAAATAGTCTGTTTAGGTTAATCAAGTACACTGACTCAGGTAATCCATGTCCAAAAAACTTTTCTAGAGTGGTACCATACACAGCGTCCAGTGCATTCCATATAATTTAGCCAGGCGTTAGTTTATTTCCCAGGACAATTCAGAGCACATAAAGAAGTATTCAAGCAGGTGAGTCTCTTAATTCTTGGCCTTGGGGTGAGAACATCTTACACTGATGCTGGTTCTGTACTTTGCTACACCACCGAATGGAGCATCTGAGCATGATTAGTCTCCAGGAGTGCTGGTACTTGTTAATAAGTTCTTAAGGGTGTTTACAGCCTCCTTTAAGTTTGTTTTTTCTTATATAAAAAAAAAAAAGTCAGTGGACCCTTAAATCTAATTAACATTAAATCTAACATCCCTTTTGTTAAACAATAACAGAAAAAAAATACATGCATACAATAGCGACAATAAATAGGGGGAATCAGACACTATTATAATGACTTGTGAGTTACAGGGTATTGATTCCTATTAATCTATTCATAGAGAGCCGAGTTGCAAACAATGTGCAAATCAGAAGTAGGCATTTAGAAGTAGGAAACAGCACTGCGCGTGCAATCCACAGGTGTTGGAGACACAGCAATTCAAAGAAAGGACAGTTTTACTTGCTTTACATATAAATTAGCTCACACGTTCCATTTTAGACCGAATGTTTGTAGTGCAATTTTCATTTTAACTGAAGTGCCAATTTGGCAGAATGCCTCAGCCTTTATTAGGCAGACAGACTGAACAGACACCACCGAGCTCTCTCCTGATCAATAAGAATGCTAGAAGTTGTATTTTACTGAACAAGTATAATCCTATTTTTCCTGCTTCTTATAGCCAGATTGTGACACCTGACAAACAAGTATAATCCTATTTTTCCTGCTTATAGCCAGATTGTGACACCTGACGCTTCCTATCTCCTACGTTATACAGAGCTTTACACTTAAGGAGGGACAGGAACTACATCTTGTTTGTTTTCCCCAACGGACTGGCAATCTCCCTCATTTTCAAAGTTTATGTTCACGAATGAAGTGCATGCTGTTGCTTCAGGCTGGTCTGTCTGGACAGGAGCTTCAGCTTGCGGCTTACTCTGCTGTTCCTGATGCTGTCTTTCTGCTTCTTCTGACATCTTGTTTTCCTGTTCCTCCTCTTCCTCCTAAAAATAGATAACCAGATTCATAAGCTACTATTTACTATTTACCACTTACTTACTTCACTTTTTCCATAAGAGCATACCAGTTCCTATTACAAGGCAAGGATGTTTGTTCCACTAGAAAACAGTCACTAGTTGATCATAAGATGATGTATATTCCAGAATTCCCATTATGAAAAAAAAATAATTTCCAAAAGTGAAGCATTAAACTGTGTTAAATAAACACAGAAAGAATGTCACATGTCTAGATTAGCAGGTTTTAGTCAATAGCAATAGTGATAGGTCTACCTTCTCTGAAGCTTTTTTGGCTCTTAATGATAAAGAGCTATCAAAAATAAAAAATAAGTAGTGAAGCTTCAAATATGTTTCCCATCTCTTCCAAATGAAGATTATTAAGGGGTTTTTTTTGCATAAAGCACTGGCTACCTATCAGTCATTTCCAGTTATGGTTTAGAACAAATGGTAACCTCATGTTCAATTTACCCTTGACACCTAGTTGACACAAGTTTTAGAGGTGGAAAGTATATTCCTAGCAGCCGCCTCTTTACAGTGTCCAGTAACTGCTCCATCCAACCTACTCACACCGTTGACTTGAAAATGCATTGTACAAGAGAAACAAACAGAGCAGTGGTCGGGACCCAGCCAGTTGTAAGACTGATGAGCTGGTGAGAAAAGGCTGGTGGATAAGCAGGCGTTCATCAAGTGGCAAAGGAAAACTGAAGGCAAGCTGAAACAGAGGTTCTAAAGCTTCATTTTAGTGCCAGAATACAAATTTTGTATTTTAAAACACCAGGGAAGGCAAGCTAGGAGAAAAAAAGCAGAGGAACCCTGTCTCACACACGTACCTCTCTCTTCATTCTGTAATACTCATCGATAGCATATTGGTATTTTGGTGTGCTTATCCCCAGAACAGATGCAATCTTTTCCCCAAGGAAATCACACACTAAAAAATAAAGAGACATTTACATACAATTAGTATCTAGGAGAAAATTTGTAAGCACAGTTTTATTTTAAAAGGTATCATCATCATCTTTCCTGAATGGTTTTCCATAGTCCTACTTCAATCAAAAGACAAACCCAAAATCTGCTAGGCTAATCTACTTAAGTGTAATTATTGGCTCAATATACTAAGAATTGTTCCTTAAGGTAAAGAATGAACAAAAGGAGAAGGACATGGAAATTGGTGAAAATCTGGATGGTGGTGGTGTTTGTTTGAATTCTACTAATGTCAGCTCTGGATCTAGGTTTGTTTTGCTAGGGGATCAGTTAAAGGGTAAGCCTTTAACTGAACTTCAAGTGAAAATTAAGGTTAGACAAAAATACATGGCTACCGACTGCATTAGTACTTCAGTCTCATGGTACCAGCAAACTAGAGAGTTAGTTATTGATATATGCATACTTCAAGTCAGTAGCAGTTTTAACAATGTTCGGTGTTGCATGCTAATAGATTAATAAAATATTTAGGTTTCAGCTGTCTCGGTTTTCAAGCTGGAGGCTACGTGCAGCACTACACTAAAACAGGCAGTGCCCAGTCTCAAGCATGGAACAGGCGGGCTTGGTCAGTCGCTCTCTTTAGCGTGATGGTGGCCACAACACTGGTTCTTGAGTAAAGGCAAACAGTAAGTCAAATATATTGCACTTCAAATTGCAAATCTGCCCCGAGGATACAAATGAGTTAGTTGTCTTCAGGGAAAACAGGTTAGAAGCCAGCAATGGAATGGTTCAAAGAACAGCCACAATAACGAGTTTTACAGATATCCTGGTATCCAGAGCTCTGGATAAAAAGGAAAGCACTATCTACCTTTGTACATGAAGAACAGATATGACAAGGAATAGAATTACACTGTACATTAGAGACAAAGTGTTTCTAAAAATAAGGATAGGTTAATCAATAGACTAGACTGCCAGTAGTTTTTAAACATACTCAAAATTAGGTGTACAATGACAGAAACTTCTCGATATTTGTTAGGGAAAAAAAAAAAAAAACACACACAAAAAAACCCTTTACACCTTGGGAAGAACACAGACTAGGACAAGCATTTTTAAAACTCTGCAAAATTTTATGAGGTCCACAGGTCAAATAAACTTCTATGCACTGAGTTTAAGACTTCTGACAATAGTCTTATTTTGTAACCTCAGAGGTCTGCTGTAAAGCACAAGACCAGATGTGTTCTTGGGATAATTTCTAGTTGTCTTCTTCGTAAAAACTCTCAGTTTAGTTACTCCAAACAGCATTCTTTTCAGATACCACACAAAATTGTTCCGTACAAAACCTAATAGAAAGCCGATATACTCCCTTGCAAAGACCACTCTATCTCCCTATGGAGAAAAAGGGGAAAAAAAGTATTCAGCAAAAGGATATTTTCTGTTCTTTCTTCCATTCAAGAGTTGTTGATTGAAAGTAAAAAAAAAAGTGCCTAAGGCAAGAGAGTATATCTCCAGAGATTAAAATACAGGTTCATTCATACTTTTGAAAAAATGGCTAGTAGCTCACAAAGATGATTTGCAGTCTGTCAAAGTGACTTTCAATATTTGATTACTGGCTTTTAGCCAAGAATGAAATAAAGCAATACCTGATAAGGTTGATGTGGCAACTCGCAGCATGTGAAACCACAAGTAGGGTCCCCATGTGAGCGTTGTCTGTAAGAATGAGAGCAGCATAAATACATATAGCTGTGTGTTCATGGCACATCATAATACATGCAAAAGCTCAAACAGATTGAGAAAGAAAGATCTGCGATGTTTCCTGTTTGCCAGCTACCACAGTATTTTTGCTTTAAAATAAGTCTATACCAGACAGGCATGAAGCAAGGTATCACCGTAAGATACAAATATGACCCTGTTTTACATCTGGGAACATCTGTTTCACTCGTTTTTGTTTCCAGCTCCCAGACCTGGGAAATGACAAGCATCCAACTCAATCCCAAGGTAACTCTTGTAAGTAGAAAGCCCTTTCCATAATGTTCTGAATTCCATCAGGCCAAGAAGAGAGGTGAGCTAACCAAGCAGCCCCTCATTACAATAATGAGAGAGCTGCAGAAGACTATTTATAACCAAACCAAACCTTCAATGTGGTCCCTGGACAAGAGGCTGCTTCCAAGTATTTACAACCAGATACAAATTATTATTCAAAATTGCACCTGAAGAAGAAAACCAGGAGCCAGGAGGGAGGGAGAGTTAGCGCAGCTCTGAGGGAGCTGACAAGCAAAGCACCTGGGGTGATGTGAACAACGAGGAACGCAAAATTAACAAAACGGGGCTCAAGCATTTGCATGTAAGTGAGAAAGTCTCTGAAGTGCCTCCACACTAAGGCACGAAGCACGGGGAGTAAATACGAGGAGTCAGGGATCTGTGTGCAGCTGCAGGGCTGGGATCTTGCTGGGATCCCAGAGATGTGGTGGACGGCTCCCATGGCTGGAGTGCTGCAGCGGGGGGATACAGACTCTTTAGGAAGGACGGGCCGGGAAGATGACGGGGGGGGAGTTGCCCTTTGCTCGTACGGCTATGGTGTGTTCACCACCGCAGAGGAAGTACTGCAGCCTCCAGCAAATTGAAATACTCACATATAGAAACTTAAAGAAAATTCAGAAATTAATGGGCATACATAGGCTATCCTCTTCACTAAGGAAAGAAGCTGCATCTCTTTAAAAAAAAAAAAAAACAACCCAAAAAAAACCAAAACCAAAAACAAACAAAAAAAAACAAACCAAAAAGCCATGTAATAAAAAAAGAGAAGGGGAAAACCAGATTCCAATCTAACGGGGGAAAAGCTGTAGGCTTTCACATTTGTGAAAAGGCGAACTCAAATTTCATAGTGAACCAAAACATGTTTATCGTTAAGAGTCTGTTGTATTCAGGCAAGCTCTTTGTTATGTATTTCCCCCCAGTAAAGATCTCTGTAGAGGTACTTTCATGTGCAAAGTAGAAATTAAAAGTGTCAGCTTTTATTAAATGAAACCCATTAGCTCCGCTCAGTTGCACATATATTTATAACTTGTTGCTAAAAACTGTTTGATAGTAACCATTTTCTGTGATCTTATTCAATAGATATCTGTACAGGACAACCTGTACTATTTATTGTAAATAATGCAGCTACAGAGACTAGTTGGTATAGCCTCAGTATGCACATACTAGACTTCAGTGCTTCCCAAGCACAGCCTCTACAAATCAGTGCAGCAAGAAACCGTCTGTCAAGCCAGAAACTCAAGTTGGGCAGGCTGAAAAAAGCCAGATGCTATATATTTTTGGCAGTGGGTATGGAAAATGTCCTGCCAAGGTAAAAATGTAAGCAAAACCAGCTGCTACCCTGCTTGCACAAAAGCACCTCCAGCTCACTGATTATGTGCTCAGTTGGCAGACAGGCTAACGACAATCATGTCGGAGTTTGTTCAGTTAAAGAAGTCGAGAAAAGTGCTGGAAAAAGCTTGTTGCCACAGGTGCAAGTAATGGCGTTGACGAGGCTCTGTACAATCCTTCATAACGAGGTGACAAGGTTAAAAAGCAGTCGCACAGCGTGCAGGACAAACAAGGGCCCGCTGCGCGGCTGTAAGGAAGAAGCTTCAAGAGCCCCCGTAACATTTAAGAGAGAAAAGACAAGCTGAACTTCAACGTGACAGGAGTAACTCAGACACAGAATATTCCAAAATGTTTGTGGTAACACAAAAGTAGGGAACACCTGAGGCTCCGCAGACACAAAGGTTCTGTCTATTTCTACTGTTCTCTCACCACAATTAAAATCCAGTTTGGTGTGTTAGGGGCACTTCTAAGTTCAGGTTCATGGAAACCTCTGCTTTCTGACAAAGCCCGACGGGACACTTCTTCACCCCCGCCAAGCAACGCTTTGCCAGTCCCCTCAATTTAACAAAGGTGTCTCAAAAGGCAATATAAAACCACGAGAGAAGCTACTTCACACAAATTCAACAGGAGAAAGGAGATGGCTTGGGACTAAACCACCAAGAACAACCAGTAACAAGGGAACACATCCAAGGAATAATCCTCCTTCCCCCCCCACACCCTCACCCCCTTACTTCCTGAGGGTAAGTTTGGGTGGTTTCCATGAGCGCCTCAGAGACAGAAGCAGGAATGGCGAAGCTGAGATGAGAAGAGGCACTGGAGAAAACCAGAACTATTTGGGTGATACAAACAGGGCTGTTGGGCAATGGCTCAGTACAAACTAATCCTACATTGCGAAGCAGCTTTAATGCATTGGGAAAACGATACCCAAGACGGGTCCTACTAATGTTCAATTAGAACCACATACCCAGATACTGCATGTCAGGCCAGAGAAGCCTTAACGTTCAGTCTTTAATCAACACAAGGACACAGTAACACTGTATTTCTTGACGGGAAACAAGGGGCAGCAGTATGAAACACAAGACACTGGTTTATTATAACGGGATAGTATTTCTTCTGCCATCAGCCTCTTTAGTATACATTTCTACAATGCTTCATTATATACCATTCAGCTCTCCTGACTTTATTTTGATGTTTAAAATGGAAAACACAATGGTTATGACAACTGTTTTTTAAATTACAAAAATTCCTAATGTGCAATTTTAATCCAAGTGCTGCATTTTAAGTAGGAATGACCATAATGGAATCAACCATTGACAAAACCAAGAGGGCTTCAGTTCAACAACAGAACATTATTTTCTTTCCTAGTATGGGGCTGCCGAAGGGAGCACACATGCACTCCCTTGAACTTCTTAGTGCACCATGTTCCTCAGCAATCCACATCTGTATTTATTTTTGCCAGATTTCAGTCTGTAATAAACAAACAAAGTAGGGAACAAAGTAGGGTTTCTTTTTGCCAGAGAAAATGGCAAAATGAGGAAAAGAATAATTTCCTGATTTAAGAAAAAACAAATTCTGTATGTAAGAGTTAACGTACACTGCCAAATAGATACTTTCCCATTGTTTACTGTGCCAAGATGCATTTTAAATTAGATTAACTATTGACTGGTAATTGCTGTAATAGGTCCTTCAGTGTATGCACCATGTAAAACTGTGGCACCTAAGACAAGCCAGTGAAAACAAGATCAGAAACACACACACCATCCTCCGTCAAAAAGCTTTTACCATATTATGAGTAGTTATTACTTGGTCAGTGGCTATTTTTCTCCCTCATCCCCAAATTCTTAAAAGAAAATTGGAGTTCAACAGTCCTCAAGAGAGGCTTTTTTGCTATTTGAAGTTAAGCTCCTTTTAACTACAGGATATCAAGATAATCTTCCTGCAAGAAAATGTTTCAATCTTTCTAAGCACTGAAGGTTAATAAAATTAAATCTCTTCTGGAGCTTTGTTGCAGAGATGTTCTCAGGACGAATTCTAAGTTTATCACCAACAGTTATATTGCTTACAGTTGCTCTGCAAAGACTTACGCTCCACCTTCTCCCTACTCATGTAATAAGTGAATGCAATTAAGAGTTTATAGCAAGTGGCCCTCCAGGGACACACAGAAATATTATCTTCTAGAACAGGTTAGAGAAAATTAATTACTATAAAAGAAAGTTTTGGTGGACAGAAGCAAAAGGAGATTTACATATAAAGTGTAAGCATCTAGACTTCAGAACAGAATAAAAGACAGTTAAAATTAAAGCATTTACGTTATTGAAGCATGTAAATTTTAATTTGAGAACACTCAGATAATGCTGAATGCTGTTCTCTAAAAAAAACAGGGAAAAATTTATTAAGCGTACCCTGTGTTCTGGATTCAACTAATTCTTAAAAAAAAAAAAAAATCAAACCAAAACACAACAGAATGGACACTACAGTCAAAGAATGTTAATGAATTGATTGCTGACCTATAGAAGTATCAGAATCGTTTCAAAGCGAAATTTAAGACCCAGTTATTTTGCGGAGTTTGTTTGTTATGATTGGCAGCAGTCCATCACACTGAATGCTTTGGTTATCATAGTACCAGGATACATGTTACTTTGCTTAGTAAGAAAGACATTGCCATCATCTGCTTAGCTCTAAAACACAATTAAACCAAGGTACTTACTGAAGTTTCTTTACAACATGGCAAAATATTTGTTTCCCTTAAACTCCTTCAGAAGCTGCCAGGATGCCAACACCAGCTGAGCTTTGAAATTTCGTGATGAAAAGTTTCTATTCAAAATATTAAATGTGCTTTTTCTAAAAATAAATTGGACCAGAAACAGCTATTACTTGCAACATACTTTTTCGTATCCCAACTGAGATAACAAGTTTTAGACATGCTGGTCTCAGCAAACTGACTATTTAATTGCTTTTATAGAAAGCGTACAATAAAAACATTTTTAAGGCAGCTGTTGGCTAAAACATCAAAGCTCAGCTTGGACTAACATTTCTTCAATTGACTGGCTCAGCTGGGATACACGAAGCATGCAGCAGATAAGGTAAACTTCACTTAATGGCAACCCTTGGTCTAATCAAGTTTATTCTGTCAAGGTAAAAAGCAATACATAATAAGGCATACTGTGCTCCACAATAAACTATTCTGGTTTGGGGGGTCCTTTTATTTAAAAGTGTAATAAAAATTAAGGATTTCATAAACTATAAGAGGAGAATAAAGCAATCTTAACTGTGCCATACAATATACTTTTTAGTATTCCGAAAAAAAAAATCTGTATTAGGAAAGCGGGAGAACACAGCATTCCCAGCTGTTGTGCACATTCGAGAGCTTTTTACTTAAGTGTCCGTTTGTACAGCAGCGTGCACATCTCTGGCCCCACACAACATACATCAAGGCTCGTGAGCCTTCCATCACTGCACCACTATGGAACTCTTCTACTGAGAGCAAACGGCACAAAAAATTATACAGATCTGGTCCCCTGATAATTATAATTTGGAAAAAAATCTCTTACACATCCATGGATACCTGACATGACACACACCCTGAGGAACAGGTCTGACTCTGAAGATACCTGAACATTCAGTAAGTTTCACAGTTCTTGCATTTCTTTGAGTAGATCCTTAGGGAGGAAAAAAACCACCCCAACACCCAGCAAGACAGCTTAACTCATTGTTTGTGAGTATAATACATGTATTTTGAATCTATAAACTTCAGGTGTATTTTATACCGATGATGTCCTACCTGCTCTCAGGCTAACGTTACTTTTCATTGTATACAAGAACTGCGTAGCAAGACAGAGATAGCGGTACCATCAACCCACCCAAGATGAAAGGCAACAGCTTCACCTGTGAATCGCTAGGAACCCCCAATCCCAGCTGAATTCCCATAGTCTCACTGCAGCTCAGTCCTCAAATGACTTTTTTTTTTTTTTCTTCAATGTAAATTCATTTTACAGAGGGGAAAAAAAAGAACTGATTGACAATTCTACCCAAAGCAAACCCCTTATGGTTCACCACTTCCTCAGGGCACCAGTTTCTGTCCGTGACAAGGCTCCTTATCTGAAGCATGGGAACAAGCAGCTCTACACCAGCATCCACCACCAGTGTGCAACCAGGCAGGACCAGCTGCTGCACAAAGCATTGACTCCCAGCTACCTGACCGCGCTCCAGCACATCAGGAAGGACCCAGCCAATTTCAGAGTCTCCACCTCTAGCTCAGTACAGGCAACCAAGCCCAGGGTAGGGCCAGGAAGAGAGCCCCACCACAAGCAGGGAATAGGACTGCAGACTCAATTTATTGGGGAGGATAGAGAAAAGAGGTGGTTGGGACACCGGTTTTTGTGGGTGTCATAAAAGACACATGAGACTGGGGAAGTGGAGAGATGAAGGGATGGATGCGGATCTTCTCTGGGACTGACTGCCAGAGGGTGAGGAGCTGCTGCCGCCAGTGCTGGCACGCATGGCTGCGAGCTCTGCAAATACACTATCACTACAAAATAGATTGTCAGACACATCAACAGAGTAAAACAGATTATATATTTCATTCTACCTCTAAGTATAGATTCAGAATCATTGACAAAAAGGAGAACGTATTTTAACAGCTACAATGCACACTATTGGAGACAGCTTTAATTGTCAAAACTCCTCTTGAATTTGGACCAATAAATGAAGTCTCCATTCACAGGTCGAGGAACATCTTAACAGCTTACAAGGCAGATGAACGTTACATACACGGACTCGGCAGGTCTTTTAAAACCTGGGTTTGATGTAGCATGAATTATACCAGTTTTCCTTTATTTCTGCAAGTCATCTGTTTCTTTCCCTTCTATGCTCTTCTAATTACATCAAATGGCTCATATGGTAACATTAAATTACAGGTTCAACCCTCCACTGTCACCAAACATAAGGAAACAAATGCCTTCCCTGCACGTTTTTTTTAAACAACAGAACAAATCAAGGACACACCAAGCAAATATTATTAGAGGGGAAAATGCTGGAATGGACATACTAGAACTGTGAAGAAATTAAACTAATTTCTAATTAATAGGGCTACTTTAGTGGAGAAGGACTCCAGGATAAAGATTCTCGGGAATGCTTCTTACAGATTTCTCAGTCCCCAGAGCCAATCAAATTAAGGTAGTCTTTAATACTAAACACTAAGTCAGATTTGTGACACAAACATTAAAGCATAAACTGTGGGTAGTTACCCAGTAAACCAGAAGTTGCAATTTATCAAGTAAAATACCTACAGGATCTACAGGTGGCAACAGGTCTTTTTTCTCTTGTTCATCTTCCTCTTCATCTGTGCTATATTCTTCCATTGTTTCTCCACTTGCAAAATGAATAACCCTCCTTGGGATTTTCTTCTTCTTTCCTATGACGCCCAGCTCCACATTCTCAAAGCCTCTATCTCCATTTGCAAGTTGCTATAAACAAGAAAATAAATCATTATCTTGAGTAGATGCTCCTGGAACTGGAAAAGTTCCCTCTCATAAAACTTCATGAGATATTTAAAATATTTTAGATTGATTAGCATATACGATAAACATTTGCTGTAGGTAAAAGATAAGACCGAAACATTGTTGTTTGCAGATACATAAAAACTGATCTCTTCACTAAAAATAAGAAAAGATAAGTGCCTTCACTCCAGCATGGACAGGTGGTATTAAAAACATATCTTCTGAAAGAGCACTATATTACATAGGAGTTTCTTTAAATTTCTTTTCTTTAAATAATTTGATGAACACAAAATTAACATAAAAAGTTAATATTTAAAAGTATTGTTGGTTTTTGGAATGAATACCTAGTGAAATTAACCAAGTGGTTCGTAGCCTGTAGCCATGTCTTTCCAAGCTGAGACAGACAACTCCAGCACAAAAGAGAACTGAATGAAGGACAACTAAGTAGCCAGGCTCAAGCTTTAAAAAGATGCATCAAGGAATCTGCCTCGGTGGGCTTTCATCAGCAATCACAATTAGTACAAGAGACCATGCTAAAAGAACAACACTGAGTTTTGTGGCTAAGGACATATAAAAAGAGAAGTACAATGTCTGTTCTTGTTCTTCCAGATGCTGAATACTACAATGCAGTCTTTGGGCCGCAAGCATTAAAACAATATACTTCTAGTCCAAAGACCAATCAATAATTCTTTAGGCTAGAAATTCCTGCGGCCAGAGAATTTTAGCAAGGTTTTGTATTGTATCTATCAAAACAGAGCCTTCTCCTTGGTGGGGCTTTTAGATACCACTGCATCAAATGCATAAAACTGTTCTGAAAACAATTCTGTCATGCAGAGAAGGACAAAGAAGTTAGGAAATGCCAGCCACATGTTTTTAATGTACCACAAAGGTTTTTAAAAATGCATGAGCTTACATAATTGAAAACCGTATCATAAGGAATGAGATGTATGTACATGTACATAGAATTCAGGTTGCATCAAATAGGCACGTTCCAATTTTCAGCTTCTTGTCTGCGCAACCTTAACAGCCTCTACACATCACAAATCAAAATTATTACTAAAAATACATATTTCATCACATAGTTGTAAGACATCTCTTAGTCGTTGCGAGCGCAGCATTACTATTCCTGTCTCTCATGCTAGATTACATTAATTAGCTTCTCTCATGCTAGATTACATTAATTAGCTTTAGAAGACAAAGAGGCTGGGTTAGCTGGGGAAGCCCGTGTGCATGGTAGAGAGGGGCAGGAGGGGGCCACGGGGAGCAGAACAGCTTCCTTCATTCCAGGCACAGATTTTTCTCATGCCCACAGAGAAGCGGGAGGGAAGGTAAAGATCACGTGCCGAGCTCTACAGGGTGGAGAGGGAGCACAGACATTCATCATCTCTCCCAGCCTTCATACCGCCACTTCTCAAAATTGCAAGTCATTTCAGCTTCCCCTAGCATATCTTTAGCTACCGTGGCACATTTTGGACATTTTCCTGGAGGAGCAGAGCAGAACCAAGTGACAAGTTTTCAATGGGGTAATTCAGACGAAAAGGCATTACATTTTCATGCAGAATTACATTTCCCTGTAGGAAGACAAAACTGACTATCCAGGGCCCAGCGCGCTCTCTCTGCTCTGTATCGGTCTTGGGAACAGAGCAGGAGGAGAACAGCAAAGCTACAAAAACATGAATGCTGAAAACAGCGAAGCGACCTAAGCACAGGGAGCGCTCCTTGCTGCCGCTATAAAAGCAGGCACCACTTATGGCGACTCAGTTCTGTATTTTTTTTGAGAAAAGAGCACCACAGAATCAGCCTTTTATGAACATTTCACGCTCCTTTATTGGCATCGTACAATGATGCCATTTTTCATGTTTAGTCACAGTGCTGAAGAGCACTATTTCTTGCAACACAGCATCACAAATATTACTGTGATTAGTAACAGCAAGCAACATGAGCCTCTCCTTAGAGTTCCTCTAAAGGCACATTCTCTTCATCTGATTTTGGCTCGTTTAACTCAAATGCTTCAAATATTTTAACTTAGAAAAAACCCTGTGGTTAATATTTAAAGTTTAAAAAGCAGGCTTTAATACCCTGCACACCCATCCCACACTCACACTACCTACGGCAAGCAGCTCCATGTAGCTGGTACTGGTACAAAGTTTCAGACAAATGCAGTAGTTCAAGACAGTAAGGATTCATCAAGGAACGATGAATCTGGTTCCCTTAGTACTCTGGTTCAGAGTCCTAAATATATTATGAAATAAAATAATACATATCAACTGTTGCTTTGGTTGTTACCTAGTCAACAAACTTGGATGTGGGTTTTAGTCATCACTGTAGCATTTGGCCTTTTAATTTTCACATGCACAACATCTAGAAACGCCAACTGTCCCAGCTGCAAGCAGAAAGTTCAGCATCAGTAGATTTTATTTTTCTTTCCAAAACTGTGGCAACGCAGATCTATTTTAGAATTGCCAGCTAGGCTCACTTTATAGCTCAAATGTTACAGTATCTCCTGTTTGAGGCTTTACACTTTTGATCTTCCTTTACAAACTTGATCTTCTTTTCCAATTCAATAAGTTGTTACAATTTGTTACACAGCTTTGGTCAGGTTGCCACCTCATTTTTTTTTCCACAGGCTCCTCCCTCTCTAACACGCTACATGGGTCTTGAAAGACTCAGCATTTGTCTTAACCTTGTGCCATAAAAGTATTTACTTTGGCTTCTATTCCAGCCACTACTAGACACAAAGGCCAGTCACCCTTACGCTTTCACCGCACTGGCTAATGCTCTTAAAGTACCCGGTGAACACTGTAAAGTGACTTCCTTTTTCTTTTAGATGCCCTCTTGGAATTTTTCTTGGTTTTATGGCACCCGTACAAACCCCACCTGTCAGGAAGTCAGCATCTGAAACTGCTGCTCCTTGTTTACCCTCTTCACACTCTCTTATCTCACCCTTTGGCCAGAACAGAGAGAGAGCAAGGCGCATTTTGACCATGTTAGTACAATACCCAGCACAATGGAATTTCAGTTCACATCCAAAATGCCAAAATAAATAAACCACAATTAAGGATGAGGTCTGCCAGGACACCTGCAGGTAAGCTAGGAGAGCTCACACAACTAACATTACATGATGCAATCATGTAAATTGTCATGAGGGGGAGGAAGAAGAGAAGCAAAAAGGAATAGGGAGAGCAGACTATTCACTTTGGCATCTTTTAATCTGCCGGGCTCAGGTATCCTCACGAGAGCCTGTGACCCAAAATGCCAAAGTCTGTGATGTCCGCTCTCCCTCAGAAAGACGAGTAATTCAATTTGCACAGATCTACTGACCTGACAGTGCTAGTTACTTCAAGACTGGTAACAGTTGGTGAGAAATATTTCTACCCACCCCATCTTGCCTGCCTTACTGATTTAATTTGTGCTGCTTTATTTTGGCTAGGGTTTTTTTGGAGGGTTTGTTCGGGTGTTTTGGTTTTTTGATTTTTTTTCCTTATTGCTTGGCTTTCCACCCTCACGTTTCAACGGAAATTAAACAGCACGAATCTTTCTGAAGCAGAAGACAACAAAACCACAGAGTCCGAGGGCGTCTTGTAAGAGAAGACACCCAGGGAAGAAGCAGCCTCGGAAGGGCACCGTGGGCGGTGAAGGTGCGGCGCAGCCCACGCTGGGCCCGAGGCCCGGGACAGCCGCGGCGGGGCGCGGAGGGCTGTCCCGCTCACAGCCGGGTTAGCAGCGGCTGTCCCCGGCC